ACATTTCATTCTAACCACTTTATTCTGAGCGAAGATATTAGCCTTTGATGGTTTGACAAGTTGTATGCACTGATTGTAACCACCTTACTGGTTGTTCAAAGCTTGACCTTGCTTCAATATTTTTAGATTAAATCATTAAATGACTGAACCGTTCTAATCTACTTAAAATCGGACCTATCCAATGTCACCAAGACTTTATTATGGTCTTGTCATGTTAATAAATGTCTAATTAATAGTTTATATAACATTTAAGGCATAAAGAAAGACCTGCAATAGGTACATTTAGCTCTTGAATAATGCCTGTTTAAATAGTAGCTATGACAAGGTTTAGATACAAATCACGTGAAAGTTCTGTTTTATAAGAATTCATTGGAAATATATTTAATTTTCATAATCCAGAAAAAGACATCTTCTACAATCCTTGTCCACACAAGGGGTATAAACTAACATTAATCTGAAACAAGGGGTATAGACTAACATTAATCTGAAATAAATGTCAAATAATTTTATGCCTTAAATGATATATAAATTATTAATTAGACATTAATTAAGTTACCAAGACCATTATCAACTCTCAATGCCAAAGTATAGTTTAGATTTTCAACAGATTTAAATTCGATCTGCGGGTGATCATTAATCAAACAATGGTAGCAATGACAATCGAGGCTAGACTGAAATTTTCAACATATTCTCTTTACATTATGTATTTTTTAGCTATTATAGTGAGAACTGTCAGATCTTTATTTAATATTCCATAATGCCACTTCAAGTTAGACACTTTTATAAGTTATGTACTTTTTGTTAATGTACACAAACCCTTCTGTCTTTCCAAAGAAAAACACTCATTAAATAAATCTTTTTTGTGGACAATTTACACCAATTCTTGAAATGAAAAGGTTGGGGATAAAAATATATTTATTTCATCCTTGAAAAAATGATATTCCATTAGATATGACATAACATGATATTAATAAAGGTGAATGACATTAGCAATAAGGTACAAAACAATTAAGATTTAACATCTCTTTATGTTTTCTGGAAAATTCCGCAGTTTTTGTAAAATCTGATAATAATATCAAAAGATATTGGATTGGAAAGAAAAAGTATTAATATTACCATTTCATTAGCAACACCTAAAGGGAATGGAGCTTATTAAACTGCAGCAAGCATACAAACTTCCTGTTTTACTAAATGTATGTTTCTCCATAAACTAAACATCTTTTTTCTGATATTGAACAATGAGTTTAGTAAGGATAAGAATGCACCAATTTATACATCATAAAAGCTCAATAATAAAAAAAGACCATATAGATACAAATAAAACTTCTTAAAAACTGATATAAATTAAAAGGCACATAAATATAGATAAAATCACTTACAAAACACATATTAGTCAGGCTTAAATCGTTTGTAAATTCTGATAAGATGTGTTCACAAAAAGTTATGTTCACTTTAAATAAAAGTGATGGACTTTAAAATGTTTAATTCCTAATTCATTGAGAGTTTTTCATTGTCGACTTTTTCTCTGGAATCGTCTAAATCTCTATTACTAAGTAGTGTACTGTGTGCAATATCATGTAATTCTTCTAATTGTTGTCTTTGATTATTATCAAGCTGATCCAATCTTGTCTTTAATAATCGTAAATCTTCCTGATGTTGTCTTTCCTGAGAATATCAATGATAAAATTAAGCCGTGTGGTAGAATAATTAAACATACAAAACTTTTTTTTACTCAATTTCTACTCACTCTATATTTTATATATACAATAGATGCAACTCATCTTTTGGACTGGGTCAACCAAGGGAAAATAAATACTGATACTACTTTCAATAACAAGCAACAAGCAATATGATTAAAACTTGAACTGAATTAATCATTTTCATGTTCAGATCCCACTTCTAAGAGGTAATGGCAGACAAGCAAGCCTGGAAATAACGCATCTGTCGCAGACAATTGAGGCACAAATTCAGGCTTTGTCAGTCACAGTTTGTTTGGTACCTACCTGGCATTTTGTCCGGCACAGATTTTCTATGCTTTTGTCGTTATATTTAATACACTGGCACAAAATTAAAAATGTCAAGTGTGTAAAACTAAAATCATCCATAGGACTGCCAACAAAAAATGAAATGAAATGAGGTTTGACATCCTATTGTTCTGCTCTTGACTTGGCTAATGAAGACTGGCTTACACCATACAGTGGTACTAGAGGGAAATTTTGCCTGTACAGCAGCATCACAGCCTACTCTTATATCAAATTTCAACTGCCAAGACATCTCTTACGTGCAAACCAATCTGACACAGGACCTCGGTCTTTCGTGCCATTCAAACAACTTTGAAGCAAATTTTTGATAGATTAATTAGTTTGAATATGTCTTTAGTCTAAATATATCATCAAACCACACAGTCGGTACCCAGGAAAGTATCTTTAACAGTCCCACTGTCTTGCACGCCAGAAAATCCTGATGAACTTTCCTGGCCAATGCAGGGATCAAACATGGGGCCTCCAGGTTAGCAAACTGAGCCACCGTGACCCCGGTCTCCTGACAAGCAGAATGTTCAGATAGTACATGATGGTAAAGCCAGGTTTTGTGTACACACTGATAGTGATAGTAATTAGTAGATATTAGTAGACTTTTGTAATCCTCTGTGAAACAGATTGTACATATCTATTTATGAATGTTGTAAAATAACTTACAAATTCTCCCGACATGTTATGCGTATCTTGAGGAAGAGTTGCAACAGCAAATGATTTGTCACCAATAGCTACATGTTTTACATTAGGAAGTAGAATTGCACGGAACTCCTGATGTTGCCTGTATAGATCTTTCCACTGTTTCTTTAATCGATTATGAACTTCATGCGGTACACAATTCCTATAAAATAAGGGCACATTAATCTTTACCATTTCTTTTAATTTATGGATATGGCATAGTAGAAACAAAATGACAATCAATTTAAGTAGCTACTGTATGATGATCATTCTACTGGTGGTGGTGGTGGCCAAATGAACTAATTAGCATTGGTATCAGTGTAATCCTTTCAATCAGACTGTTACCAGTATTATTACATATAACATGGACCAACAAAATCAATTAATGATGAATATACCAATGATAGGATCAAAATAAACTGGCTCTTTAATCAATGAAGTTAAAGTCAGGCAATACACAGATTTAGCACTGCAGATTACATCAACTAACCAGAAAATGACAGCTGTGTCCATAATTTATTTTATAAAAACTCTCAGGTTATACTGATAACACACCACTTACAAAATGATGTTATTTCTTATATCAAGAATGTATTTCTAGAATTGATTGAATCTCCAAAAAAGATTGTTAAACTGTGAAATATAAAGAGACATTTCTTACTTTAATGCCTGTATTTCTAGATCTAATTCCTCATTTTTAGCCTCTAATATTTGTATGTTATCTCTTAACGACTCAGTAGTTTTATGACTTCTTGTTTTATACTGTGAAAAAGAAAAAAATAATAGCATATAAAAAGGATATGTTGAGTATCACCCAGGTAGTACATATTTCATGAAAGTCGACCGTTTCTCACCCTAGTGTTTGTATTTCAGAATGCCATAGGCTTTAAATTTTGCAAATAAATTTGAACACTAAATTTTATGTAAGTGTAGACAATTACAGATGACAGCATAAATTCAATAAAAACTCATTGATGTAAACATCAAATGGTCAAAATGATTTAATGTGGCCTTCAGACACTAATATCTGAATTTTGTTCTGCCATGCTGTGACTTTATTTAACATGAAATCAAATAAAGAATAAAATTTACCTTTTTGTATATGACAGCAGCTTTTGATAATTTTGATTGCACATGTGAATATCTGCTTTCCAGTTCCTTCAGCCTTTCATCTAGCTGATTGCGTTCATCTATTAAAGCACCTCGAGTGTGAGAGAGTATACGATCGTGATTATTCTGTATTTTAACCAATTGTTCCTGAGTTAAGTTCAGTTCCTCTTTAAGAAGTTCCACCTGATTTCGTAATTTAATATTTTGATCTGTTGTTTCCTGTTCGTTACTATAGTAACCACTGAGTTCAGATTCAAGTTTATGTACTTTACTTTTAAGTTCTGAATTTTCTGACCTCTCTCTTTCAATTTGATCCTGAAGGTTTTCAAAATGCTGAATTTTTGTCCTGAAAAAGATTTTAAAATTATGTTACTGTAGAAATCATTTTAACTATCCCACTTAAAGCGAGAATTTCATATTTTCTAAGAAAGTCAAAACATAATTATTTCTATGTCTTTTGCTCAATAGGTTATCAACTCACTATTATACGGTCATAGGTGTCATTCTCACACTTAAAACTCATTTACACTGGAAATAATAACACAATTACCTCCATTGTTTTCTATTCTCCACCATGGAGTAGCTTTTTTCAAACGTTTGAATTGGAAGAGGAAAATGATATTTTTGCCAATTTCTCAACTGGCAATAGTGAATTATAGGATTAATAGGATTATTCTTTAACAAGGTAGGACTGTTTATGGATACCATCTATTTTAAGGCTTTATTTTAATAAATTTTAAAAATATTATTAACTTAAAAATTTGAAATTTCCGCTTTAATACTGGTGATCTAAGCCAAATTTCTTGTTGTTAGCTGTGGTTATTTTACATTGTCAAAGAAATGCATGCAGTTGCTGGCCAGCCAAATTGATTGTGTGGTCCAATAAGATACTGACTGAACAGATTTTGATGGTGATGTCTGTAGCCAGTTTGTATTGCCTTTCTTAAATAACACCCCCTTTTCTACGTATACCATTTCTTTTCATTCAGTGAACTGGCCATGATTTCATGTATATATGACATTATTATGTTAACATACCTCTCATTAATCCTGATGTCATTCTATAAGGAGTTTGATTGGTTTTTGAAAAATATGTCAACCAGTCAAAATTTTGTTCAAACTCGCAAAGCTTGTATTGACTTTTTGTACAGAAAGAAATCTAAGAAGATGACATTTAACTTACTTGTAAACTAATAATTCTTTTTCTGCTGCCTCTCTTTCATTACTGATAGCTCTAACACGATCTTCAACTTTCTGTTGATCAGCATGTCGATATGATTCTTGATCTATCTTCTGTCTTTCAACTTCCTGTAGTTTGGCTTCCAATTCCATTCTAAAATAGCAATAAGTATTTGCAACCATCAAGTACGGAACAACACAAAAGATTGCCAGCATTCATGTTTCATCATTAAGCATTACAAGCGGTTGCCATGCAAGATACGCCCACATTTTGCAAGAGATGGACGGAGAACAGGCTAGAAAAAGAGGCTATTTTCAAAAATCAGATCCAGGAAGTTAGGGTCCAATGCGTGCATGTGTAGAAAGGAACCAAAACTTTTAGGATATAAATTTTAATTTTAATTTTCATCTAAATCAAATAAAAATTGAGACCTCTAGTGTTTCCACCAGATAAAAACATGATTTTTCGTACATCTGGTGCCATAATCCTGGAAGCCACTGTCTGATTTGCACAAATATCAAAACTAACCAAGATTTTTGGGATATGAACACATATTTTCAGTTTCATCAAAATTGGATAAAAATTGTTACCTCTGCTGGGTCAACAACCTTGTGTACGTGGAGCGTCCATTTTGTCAGACCGTTTTTTGGACATTTAGAGTGTCCACAAGCCAAAAACATTATTTTGATACGATCAGGGACCTAGTTATATGTTCTAGATGATCTTTCACACAGATAAGTACAGCCATAAAAACATGTTTCTCAGTTTGGTCAGTGTATAACAACAAATATAGCCCTGAAATAAGAACAAAACTGGTAATGTGAAACAGACAGTCAGAAATCTATTTACTCACTTTTCCGATTCAATGGTGGCCATTTTGTGAAATTCTTCTTCTCTCGCTGCTTGAACTCTTCTCACTGCTTCCCGTTCTTTCTCTTCTAACGTTTGAGCTTGTGAACGTATTTTATGTTCATTTATCTCTATCTGCGTTTGGAGATCTATATGACAGAAAACAACCAAATAAGTGATGAACCTCCAGTTCAGACAGTTTTTAACGTTTATATGGAATGTACTGTAAAGACAAGGATAATTTCTACTTGCATCTGTGCTTGCCCCAATCATCCAGAGCAAATTACACTTTACAGGCACAATGAGTCAGATCGTTCACATATATCTCAAAACTCCAAAATATACTATTTGTAAGTAAAATCTGATGTTATTATGTAAATGATCATATTCAAGAATAAAACCTAGCCATAACCTAATTAGATATGATTGATTTCAATAACTGTGTATTATTTTAAACTCCACCCATATATTGAATCTTTATTCAGGCATGTTTAGGCTTTAAATGGCTAAATGTTTTAAATCTAATCATGTGACTTTTAAAAACTTTTACCGAAAATGTTAATCTAAGGTGAAGGGCAAATAAATTAAAGGATGTACATACCTTCTACTAAATTAGATAATCTATCCCTTTCTCGTTCCAATTCACCTCTCTGTTTTAACATCTCCATTTTAAGATTTGTTAAATCTACTTTTGATTTATGGCTGACTTCATCAGCCCTGTTACTTAGCACCATATTTTCTTTCTCCAAGTCGTGTATTCTACTTGTTAACTTATTATGTTCATCGCTTGACTGAGAAATTTCGCGCAGTAAAGATTCACTTTGTCTTTTTAAAGATTCTCTTTCGGCCTAAAATAGATACATCAAAATATCATCATTTATAAACAAAGAAAAGGAATGGGTTTAATACTTGCATTCAATTTTAAACCTACCTTAAAGAGCTAAATCAGTCTAATGCATGTCTTTTTTCTAGCTTCAAATGTTATATAAACATATAAATAGATGACACATATTAATTAATTGTAGTGTTGAAACTACTATTTGGATATCCGTTAACGGATACAAAATAAGGGTTATCCGAATCATTTTACTATCCGTTACAGTCTTCTGACATTCCGTATATAATCTATATTTAGCCATTTTTACATGCTATTGATCACGTACGCAGCTTTGAGCATAAATGTTAATATCATGCATATTATTTAGCGATATTAACTAATAAAAATATTAATGCAGTGCAACGAAAACAGTAGTCTAAATAAAAAAATATTCATTCATTCCCTGCGCTGGTTTACGCTAGATAGAAGCTACTTCTTGGGTTTACGGGATACAAGTTTACACTGTGTTTAGACTTCCCGCAATGAAATTTATTCATAACGACCTAGGTCACGTATATTCTCACTTACTGATTGGTTCAATAGCAGTAGATTATCAGAATGAGGCAAACAACCTTGGCGGAATAAATGTCAGATGTTTTTATTTTACTTTTTTCATTCGTGTTGATTGAGCAAAAATGATAAGTGGGAGGGCTGCGGATTACAGAAGTAGTTATACACAAATTTATTCACCTCATTGATTTTTTTTGGATATCATGGATAGTCTTAATAATTGCAGCTAAAGGTAGGCACGTTTAAGATTTCATACTCGGCATACACAGACACTCATAAACATTGAAATAAGTAAGAAATTATGAGTATATGAACTTTTGATGTGATTTTGTTCAAGAATTTCACGTTTCCGAATTATCCGAATAGTATTCGGATAGCAAACAAAAGTATTCAGATCACAAATCTAGATCCGATTTTCAACACTAATTAATTGCACGTTTTTCTTTTTCAAAAGTATCAAACAATCAAACTGATTATCAACTATACACTAAGTTTCATCACTCTCTATCAGATAGAATCAAAGTCAAAGAAATTGCTTGGCTCTGCTTAGCTTTAGCAGGAAATGTTAATCATTTAACTTAGTCAAGATATGTACCTAATGAATATCAACATCAAGTTAAACATTCATCCTCAATTAAAAGCAGAGCTGTAAGGTTCCAAAGTCTTGACCAATCAAATTGCTTATCGCTCCTTAGCCTAAGCAGAAAATTCTCATCAAACTTAGTCAAGGTAATGATATAATGAGTTTCATAGCTCTCACGTAATTATAACTAAAGTTATCGTGCCCAAAAGCATCAACCAATCAAATTCCTTATCTCTGCTTACCCTAAGCAGACAATGTTCATCTTTGAACTCCATCAAGACATTCACCTAATGAACGCCAAACCAAGTTTGAACATTCTACCTCAATTAGAAGGAGAGTTATTGTGTCCCAAAGTCTCGACCAATCAAATGCTTATCGCTCTGCTTACCCTGAGCAGAAAATGTTTATTATCGAACTTAGTCAAGGTATTTCAGCCTTCACGTAAAAGGAGCGTGATCGCTCTCGCTCTCCTGGACGCACCTGGATGTCAGTCGAGGTATGCTTTTTAACGCTCGTCTCAATATCTACAATGTGTAAATTGACTCCCCTCAAAGAAAATAATCAGGAAATATATACCGGTAACGAAAAATACTGTCAATATCGACAATCAAGTTGTTTGTCCGCTACAATAACAGTCATCTTGTTCATAATACGAGTAATTAGCACATTTAACGGTAATTTTTATAATTCGATAAAAAAAAAAACAAGCTTGCTGGTTTTTCATAATAGGTCCAGTAATAAGCCATGTGGTGAATGAATACATCTCACTCGACATGGATTGTGAATCTCAGGATTCACGCCATCTTTTTAATAGTCCCCTGTTTTCTTCGATGGGCGGGGGACAATTATTAATCAGACATTTATTCATATGACAAGTCCATAATCAACTCTCCAGTTCAACGGATTAAGAGGATTAGACAATGTGCACCAGCTCTTTGTTAAACTTTTAAATGCACGTTACCCACAGAGGCTGTCAATTGAAGGACTGAATTATAACAGTGGTAATGATACGTGACTATTGATACTATAAACAATTAAACCATACCTCTTAGGAGAGGATGTATTTGATAGATTTTAAGCTCATGTCTCTACTACATTAAAATAAACCTTTAAAACAATTAATTACCTCCAGAGCTTTAATAACACCAACATTTTCTGATAACTGCTTAGACTGTATTCTAGAAACACTGTCTGAATCTAAACCAAGTTTCTCCCTCTCAGATCTTATTTCTTCAAGTTCCGACAATAATCCTTTTAATTTTAAATGTAATTGTGCATTCTCTCGCTGTAAGACACGAACTTTCTGTGAATCCTGGGAACATTCCGTTTGAACTCGATTTATTGTGCTGTCTCTCTCCTTCCGTAAATTAGTCACCTTTAAATAATGAAAACAATTTCATAATGAAAGAATAAAATCTCAATAGATCAACTGAGAGAAATGGTTTTAATACCAAATATGTCATTTAGCAGTAGACCAGTGATTCTCAACCTGTGTGCTGCGAGATCTTCCTTAGTGTGCCGCAAGATCTTCCTTAGTGTGCCACGAAATTTTGAACGGCACACCAAGAAAATGTGAAAAAACATGTGATCCCAACTGAGTATTCACTGATAAGTTCATAGCTGTGTTTTTCTTCATTTAGTTTGAGTCATTCTTTAAGTGTCTATGACTAGTCTCTGTCTACAGTTGAGAACCACTGCAGTAGACAGTTAGCCAAGCAACCCTACTCCCTTTTAAATATACATGTCTGGGAATAGTCACGGTCAGCCAGAACCTCCTAGTCTTCAACGTACAGAGGGTCTGGGACTGTTGTCAATATTTGACAAAAAGATTCATTGCCCATGCGTAACCAAGAGTTTTTTTGGGTTTTTTTATGTGGTTGATTATCCAGTGTATTTGGTCAAGTCAACTAAGAGTTGCACCCCTTCGCAATAAATCCCATCATTCTTGCATTAATATAAACAAACATGAATTGTGACGACGAATTAGGATTAAATAAAAAAACCAAACAGATATGGCCCATGAAGAGAGAAATTTTACAATAAATTTTTTTAAGAATGTTGGATATTGAACTGGCAATGTAATCAAAACTTCAAATGGATTTTCTGAAATGGCATTCTTTAAAAATTAATTTCATGGGCGTCAACATCTTGTTTTAGGACTAGTTACCTCCCTTAGACTTTGTTTTTGATAATGTAAAAGACCGGATAATCTAGCCAATGACCTATAATTCTCAAATGTTGACAATGCATCCAGACTAATATTCGTAGAATATTTTTTTTGAATGATAGAGACTAGTCTGGGAATGGAACCAGGCCATTTGACTCAATTATGATCTTTTTAGGTTACAGTAACCTATAAACAAATTACCTCTGCTTCACACTGTAGTTTAATCTCTGCCAGTATTCTTTGATGCTCTAATTTTTCATGTTCATATTCTGATTTGACAAAGGAAAGTTCATATCGTAATTTATTTTGACTGGTCCGATGTTCATCTATTTCTTGTTCCTGGTGTTGGTATTTTTCTCGGTATGTGACCTCTAAATCCTCAATCACCTGCATTTTTAAAATTTCTAGTCTTTGTGGAGATATCACCTGGAATAACAAAGTATGTAATTGATAGATTTGTCATGTTAAAGCAAGTTATTCTCAAACAGTTGTGATACCTTATTTAAAACCTATGCTCAAAATCCAGCAAAATAATAAAAAAAAGTTTACTACAGTTTTTGTCAAAACATCATTTCAAAAAATATATGCCCACAATATCATCATCATCATCATGAAAAGTTATACTGAAATATTACAAAATTGGGTCTACACTAAGTATGACAATATGAAATAGGGATATTATCAATAATTTCTGAAGTAGCCAACATGTTTCATCATGGTAAATCTAGTAATTATGCCAAAAGCTTGAAATAGTGGCAGGCCTGTAGCACCTCCCAGCACAATCACTGGTTAAAAGTTCAGAAAATTACAAAGTAGTGACTTGATGAGATCTCATTGAGGAAGAAACGATACCTTTGTTTTTAGATCCTCAATTTCAGCCATCCTTTCTGCCAATTCCTGTCTGGTCTGATCATACATTGTTTTATATTTTTCCTGAACAATTCGACTCTCCTCAATCGTAGTTCTGACTTCATTTTGTAAATGCATATATTCATCTTGTAATCTGAAAGTTTATTTTTCTCTTAAAAGTTTGATTAGCCAAAAAAATATTATTGCCAAAGGAAAAGCAAATGTTCATAGGGTAAGGGTAGGTAAGATCAGTTAAACACAAACTTCTTGAAATGAAATGTGGTTAAGAAGAGCAAATTATCTGTAATAACTTGAGATAATGAAGACAGGCATGCTCATTGCAGTGTACTATTTGAGAGAAATTTTTCCCAGACAGACCCGAATTCAAAGATAGGTTGCCAGGCAATGAAACATACGCCCACAGCAGCTAAATCGTCCGGGCAGTCAACAAGAGTTGTCGCATATTTTTACTTTTTCAGTAATGAAAAATGTATAATACACTAAAATCTGATTAAGGGTAACAACTCATTAAGTAATTATCAGAAAATCATTAGAATTTGTTTGGTTTTTATAAATTTCTGCCCCATGCTAACATTTAGTATACGAAATATTTAATATCATGGATTTAGCTGTTCAAGTTATCAAAATTCATTGAAAATCAATATACTTACAAGTTCGTTTCAAGACCTTAAGCTCTGTGTATCAATCTGAAGTCAATCGGATGATAACATAAGCCTGTAGAGCGTCACAAGATTTTTCAAAGTGATCAAGGGCCATAACTTTGGCAGTAATTATTGGAAATCGTTGAAAATCAATAGGATTCTTCATCTCATGACCTCAAACACTGCCTATAAATTTAAAGTCTGGCAGTAATTATCCGAAATTGCTGAAAATCAATAGACTTCTTTGTCTCATGACCTTAAACACTGACACTGTGTATAAATTTAATGTCAATCAGCAGATATTAACTTTAGTATCTAGAGCGTCCCCAAGCAATTGTGGACGCCGGACCGATGGATGGGGGCGACGAAAATATACGACCACATTTCAATGTGGGCGTATAAAAACTACCCAAGATTCTTTAACATTTAGCTTACAATTTACACCTAATGTTTAAAGGAATTTAGTTTTCCTGATTTTCTATAAATATACACTATCCTGCACCACTGACAAGGGGGAACCAGACTGGAAAGTTCTGAGGATCTTTCTCTGCCAACACCAGGATTGAACCAGGACCTTGTGAAACATTAATTCTTTGAATGGCATTTAGTAATTGGAACAAAAACCATAGTAATTGTTATTCCATAAAAGTGTCTTTTTCATGAAACATTCATTCATTAAAATACATCCTACCTCGAGTGTTCAGATTTTAATTGTTGATAATTTGTTTTGTGTTGTTCGCTCCTCATTCTTTCATCTGAAAGCATTTTTTGTAATTCAGTTTCTTGAGTAAGTCGAGGTAGTTGACTAGATAGGGAGGTTCCCATTCCCCCTCCCCCTGATGCAGCCATGAAACTAGTACCAGCCATTCTTATTTCATTAACCTGTGAAACAAAAATTTTTTTTTTTTTTTTATTTCTATTCTATTCAGAATACTGCATAATTTGCTACATTTCAAAGGATTCTAACAATTATTAAGAAATAAGACAGCAAAACTATTATTATACTAATACTTTGTCATACAGTTAACTAGGAATTATTCCTGTTTACACCTATAAAACCATTTGACTATATGAACCATATTCTCCACTTATTTTATGGGTACGGTAGTTCATCATATTATGATGACAAAACCTGCTTGAAGAAAGTCCTTAGAATGATCACACTACTGACTGTGGCTGGATGGAGCAAGAAGGAAGACATTTCAGCACAACAGTAAACTAGTCACTGTAGACTGTAGAGGAACCATTTCTGAAGATAGTTGAGTAAGGTGTATTTCATATTTCAAATTTATACACACTGGGGGGAGGGGGGGGGATAGACAGTCCAGAAATATGTGTGATTATTCATTTTCTATACCTTTTCCCCATTAAACATAGATTATCATTATGCAAGAGCTAAATCTGCCTATTGCAGGTCTTTCTTTAGGCCTGAAATGTTATATACACTATCAGTTAGACATTTATTAACATGAAAAGACCTTAATCAACTCTTAATCAATTTAAATCCAATCTGCTGCTCAACAGTTACAGTGAACACTCGATGAAAAAGTTCATCTGTCAGTGTCAGACTGGAGCAATTTGACTGAAATTTTCAGCATATTCCCTTTACATTATCTAGTTTTTAACTATTATAGTGAGAAGTGCCAGCTCTTTATCTAATATTCCATAATGCCCCTTTAATCATACCAAGCGCCAAAATCATAACAGGTTCAAACTCATTTTTCTTGCTTAGCTAGAAGATGAATAAGAATCTTAGAAAAGGTCCAGACAGCTGAAAATTCAAATTTATTTCATCTAGTGCAAGTGTTTCGTTTGCCAAATGAAAGACAAGCTATCCTTTTAATTACCTGGTACATAGAGATGTTGATTATCACAATTTACTGGGTAAAATTCAATCTATATTTTCATTTATCTACCATTTTTATCAGCAAAATTCCTTTCAAACTTGACAACAGAACGCTAAGCATGCGCAATTAAACTTCCTGTAATAATTTATTAATGTGAGTTATCTCCCCGATACTTAGGTATCAATCGGTGTTCCTCGACAAAGTCCGGTAATGTCCGGCATCACACGGATCCGCAGTGAATATTCGCAAGGCCGCGACAATATTAGAAGACTTTCGTAATCCTCTGTGAAACAGATTGGTCCGGCGTATTGAAATTTATTCTCGGGCGCCAGCAATCCGAAGGATTCCCCGCATTCAGATTTTAAAAAAAATAATGACAAGTAACTTTAAGGATGACCCGAATTGGGCAGATGTCAGTTTTCCAAATGAAATTAATAATTCTAACCGTTTTCCCAAATATAAGAAAAGTCAACAACATTGTGGAGATTAATTATGTAGGTTATCGGCTTATGATTATCTATTTTTACGTGTTACATATCTGTTTAGTTTCATATTGATTATTTATGTAACATTTAATAATTAATGTGTTGAAATTGAAAATGCGATTCATTGTCGCCTGTCAGTGTACAAACATGTACCTAGAAAATTAAAACAAAAAATGATGAAAAATGCATCAACAACTATAAGAATTTTGGCGTTCCCACATGCGGGTAGTCATAGTTTTATTTAATTTTGTTAAATTTCATAATACGGGAGGAAAAGGGCAGTGAAACGAAATATATTTAAAAACTGTACCGTATGCTATATCATTAATGTTGTCTTTTTTATTTGCGCAGAAAAATAATTATTAATTAACCTGTTTTTTCCCGAGCGACAGGAAAATTTGCACCTCCTACCGGGTAGCACGATTACCCAAATCTACCTAGTTTGTTAGTCCTCTTCATTCTTTGTGGAACACTGCTACAATCTTCCTCCATCTCACGTGGACTGTTCTTTTAACCTCATTCCCGGTTTTGCCAATCTAGTTCTTTGAGTCTTGTTCTTTTCCAGTTATGTACTGGACGCCCTTGTCTTCTGTGTCCTTGTGGATTCCAGGCCAATGCCTCTCTCGTGTTACTGTTTGTAGATATTCTCCAAGTGTGACCAATCCAATGCCATATGCTCGTCTCTTAAGATGTTGTGCTGATGTTTCCTGATTTGTGCGTTCCATTAGATGATTGTTGACCACCAAACTTTGCAGATTTGTCTCAAGCATTTGTTGGTAAATACCTGAATTTTTTGTTGCAGTCCTGCTGTTAGTCTCCAAGTTTCACATCCGTAGATGAGTACTGCATGATTTCACATTGGTGTTAAATAATCTAATCTTGGTGTTTTCACTTAGTGCATTAGATTTTCACTCTGGCTTTAGAATTGCGAAGGCTTGACGGGCTTTGCTTATTCTGGCTTTCATGTCTTCGTCTGGACCACCAGTCTTACTCATTATGCTTCCTAAGTATGTAAACTATTACACTTCTTTCAGCTCTTTCCCTCCAATTGATACTGATCCACTTTTTTCTAGTTTTTACTTTCATGATTTTTTGGGGTTTTTTGTGGTTGATTTTTAGCCCTATGTTTTTTCCTATTTCAACTAATCTGTTGGTTTTCTCTCTGATGTCTTTTATCTGGTGAGACAACATTGCAAGGTCGTCCGCAAAATCTAGGTCTTCCAGCCTCTTTATCATATTCCATTGAATTCCTCTTGGTAACCCAGTCGATCACTATTAGAAATAGTGTAAGCATCCTTGTTTCACCCCGGTTTTTACTTGGAAGGGGTCGGTGCGAGTTTTTTCATGTATCACTTGTACTAAGAAATCTTCGTACAGAGCTTTTATGATGTTCACAATTTTAGATGGTACTCCATAGTGCCTCAGTAGTTACCACATTCCATCTCTGTTGATACTGTTAAAGGCTTTTTCAAAGTCTATAAAATTTATGTATAATGATGATTGCGATTCGACTGATTGTTCCACTATTATTCTGAGGGTAGCAATTTGGTCAGTGCAGCTTCTATTGGATCTGAAGCCTGCTTGTTCATCACAGAGAACTTTATCTACTGCATCTTTCATCCTGTTCAATATTACTCTACATAAGATCTTACTCGCAACAGGAAGACGGATTATGCCTCTCCAATTTTCTCAACAACCTAGGTCTCCCTTTTTTGGCAGTTTGACAAGTAGCCCTTTTTTTCATTCTGATGGTATTCTTTCAGCTTCCAAGATGTTATTCAGTAGTTTGAATAGATATTCACAAATATCTTCGCCGCCCTGTTTCAAAGCCCCAGGTGACATTCCATCGATTCCAGCTGACTTCCCATTCCTATGTGACTTTAAGGCTTTCTTGATCTCATGTTTCATTATATTGTCTGTCTTTAAAGCGGAAATTGCAAATTTTCTAAGAAAGTCAAAACGTAATTATTTCTATGTCTTTTGCTCAATAGGTTGTCAACTCACAATTATATGATCATAGGTGTCATTCTCACACTTACAACTCATTTACACAGGAAATAATAACACAATTACCTCCCAATTACCTCCCTTGTTTTCTATTCTCCACCATAGAGTAGCTTTTTCAAACGTTTAAAAATGAAGAGGAAAATGATATGTTTGCCAATTTCTCAGCTGGCAATAGTGAAATATAGGATTAATAGGATTATTCTTTAACAAGGTAGGACTGTTTATGGATACCATCTATTTTCAGGCTTTATTTTAATAAATTTTAAAAATATAACTTAAAAATTTGCAATTTCCATTTGCAATGGTCTGGCTCTAGTCTGTTTAGGACACTAATGAAGTGTTCATTCCACCTTTCCATCTGTTCATTTATCTTTGAAAAGACTTTTCCATCTTTGCTTTTGATTGGTTTAGACTTGCATGTTTTACGTCTAGTCAAGGTCTTTGTGATGCCATAGAGGGTCTTAATATCACCCATGCATGTAGCCCTTTCTGCTTCTGTAGCTAGTTGGTTCACATAATCTCTTTTGTCATTTCTGCAAGATTTTTTCACCTCTTTATCAATTTGGTGTTTAGTGTGTGTCTCCTTCTTTTGTGTTCTTGTTTTTGCATTGTTAACTTTTTCTTTCATATTCCTTTTTTCTTCAGCTTTCTGACATGTATTTTCAGACATCCAGCCTTTCTTCTTGTTGGTCTTTTTTCCTAGAAGTTCTTCACACCGCTTTTGAGAGCGCGTTCCGTACATCATCACTCCGTAACGTGCATGCACTAAAGCTAACGGGCGCTACCCACATAACGTGAATTTGTGGATCACATAATTATGAATACTGCCCAATAAACAAAAACAGAAAAAGCAAACAGTAAGCGATCAAAGTGCCAAGACCATTTTCTATATATAAAAAAAACAAACAATAATTTATTTACCTCTATTTTGTTCTTTGATTCCATAACTAATAGCTTATTAGAAAACCGGCTATAATCAGTGTTCCTATATAACAATATTTAGAGATAAAGATCCCCAAATAACCAGTTTTCACAGGTATAAAAATTATTGTAGGAACTTCACAGAATGGACTGCTCAGTCTAGAAAGTGTCAATACTGACCGCTACACTGTCAATATTTCTTCTGATAACAGATTAGTTCCAGAGATATAGTCGATATCTGCAGTGACAACGAGGGATTACAAATTAATTGATATGTGATAATAACCCTTGCCTGATGTCGCAGTTTATCCAATAACATATTGAACTGGTCTATATAATTATGGTATACGATGTTCCGTTATCGTCATCTACAGAATCATGTGACAAAAATTAGTGGCTAATGCACAGCCATGGCAACACCACAAGCGGCTCGTGCGACCAGTCCAAAAAATAGATTAATCGATGCAAAATAGGCAGATAGGACTTTTTTCCCCTGATTTCTATCTCTTTTTTTTTCAAATAAAAAAAGCTTTAATAATAATATGGTCTTTAACAATAGACACAAATACTTTTTTTTTATAGAATTAAAAAAAATACATGTAGTCTCATGTCTATAACTAATGGTTTCATATAGCACCAATGTAATTTCACCCGATCCGCCTATTATTAGCCTGCTAGTAGTAGAAAGTTGTTAGTCATTTTTAGATGCTCGTAGCAGCGCTAAGGGTGCCTCTGCGCCTCTGGGGGTAAATTGTTAGCCGCTACAGTAACAACTAACAAGGGCAGCCTTTGTTATCTACTATTAGCAACCAACAAAGGCTGTAATAGTTAGTAGACCTATCCGCTATTAGCTTATTTATAAATCATTATTTTCTCGATCTCCGATAAATGGGAATAAAAGATAGAATTTGTATAGACTGCCTTCTTATGACGACCCGAACAATCTTCCAAGTTAGAACAAATCTTTCAAAAAACTTTGGCCTAAAATATATAGCCTACCGCCCGTCGATCCTCGCCACTGTATGTTACCGGGGGATCGAACCCGTAGCGTTGAACCTGGGTGTAGATTGGTCTATAGCGTAAAAGACTATGGAGTGCAGTAATTAATAAATTGTTTTAATAGCATTCGGTAATTGAACTGGAATATACAGGTCACACTAAAAGATTATATGCAACACAAATACCGTACTGCTTATTATTAGGCTGGAGGGGGGTCTGGAGTTTGCTCCCGGTGTGAATCCGTCGTGATTTTTAGGCAAAGTTTACCCTTGTCAGTAGGAAAGGGCGGAGTGCCTCAAGGAAAAGCTATATAGTCGTTCAGATGGGACAGAAAGGAGGTCACGCGTACACGTAGAGGAATCCTTCAGTTTTGAATCGAAATAAGAGTACGCCGTACCCAGTACCGCCGAAGACCGGGCCCCCCCCCCCCCCCCCTCACCCCAATAGCATACTGCATGCTGCATTGGGTCTGTATGATGTTATTGTTAAATCCCATTTCATTTCTCCATGAACGGGAATCTTCGTTCCCTGCATTGGCCAAGAAATTCATCGGGTTTATTCGACATGGTTTCCCCTTAATTGTCAGTGGTGCAAGACGGAAGTCCTGACAAGAACAGTTGTCTAGTCGTTCGGATGCGACGAAAAAAAGAGGTCCCGTGTATACATTGGCATGCACGTTAAAGATCCCTTGGCAGTTGGAATTC